TGGATTGGCAGCAGAGCAGCCAGAACTCAGACTGGTGCTCATATGTGCTGCTGGTGGCTCAACTTGCTGCACCACAGTGCTGGCCCCACACTTGACAAAAAGTTATCTGCAAGGTAGAGAAAGTGTGTAAGAGTTATACTGTCTGTCTGCTGGTTCACTCCCCAAATGCCTGCAAGAACCCAGGTTTGCCAAGCTGACGACAGGAGCTAGATGCTCAATCCAGGTCGCCCGTGTGAACAGCAGGGAGCCAAGTCCTTGAGCCGTCATCACTTGCTGTCTCCCAGGTTGTGTGCTAACAGGAAGCTGGAGTTGGGAGTGGAGCCAGGACATGAACCAGGCCCTCCAGTAGGGGATGTGGGTATTCCAAGCTGTCTTAACTGCTGTGCCACGCACGCTTTCCCGAGTGTTCTAGATTTTTAGAATGGGAACAGAAATGCCTAACCTGGAGGACTCTGGAGAGTTTGTTGTGGTATGGGATCAGCTGAATGCCTGCTTCATTCTCGAGTTGATTCACGATACACAGGCGCTATTGTTTGCTTCATAAAAGCAGTAGCAGTGGAGGCCTGTTAAGTGGCACACTAGCATGTTTAAACTGTTTATCTACCAAGAACCTCTGTGACACACAGCGTCAGTAAACTGCTGTCACAGGTGCTGAAGTAGGGAACTTGACTTTGGCCTTCTGGACTACTTGAGAAGTTGAGAGATAACCGTATGAGTAGGTTCATTAAATTTTATGTTCAAGCTCTGAAGTGCTATTGGAATTTAGAGAAGGAGAAAAGTGATTTCATGGTGCTTACCTGCTTAATCAGTCTTTGAGTTAGTGAGTGAGGGAATGGATGAGTGAATGAACAGTTAACCACCAGATACACTGCAGACTCCTGGAAGAGGTGGGGCGTGGCTGGGTCGGTATAGTGGGTGCTGTTGTTGCTTGTCTTTCATCTACAGAATACAGTCTGCTCAGGAGCGTGCATGGCAGCCTCTGAGGCAAATAAAAAATACTGGACTTTGACTACGTGTAGATGAGCAGGCAAACCTTGAAAATCAGATGCCCTTCAAGGAAGCAGGTTTGGGCTCAGTCCAAGGAAGAATGGAGTACTGGTGTTGGAAGGGAGGTGACAATTGTGTATGTGTCAAGCAAGAGACCCTTGAATTTCCTTGAGGGACGGCAGAAAAATTCATGTGTCAGGGGCCAGAACTGTGTCATAGCAGGCAAAGCCACCATCTGTAGCACCAGCATCCCATATAGGAGCCAGTTCGAGTCCTGGCTGTTCCACTTCAAATCCAGCTCCCTGCTAATGTGCCTGGGAAAGCAGCAGAGGTTGGCCCAAGTGCTTGGACCCCTGCACTAACATGGGAGACCTAGAAGAAGCTGTTGGCTCTTGGCTTCATATTGGTCCAGCTCCGACTGTTGTGGTCATTTAGCGAGTGAACCAGTGGATGGAAGTTCTGTGTCCCTCCTTCTCTCTCTAACTCTCCCTTTCAAATAAATAAATAAAAAAATTTTTAAATTAATGTATCAGACTGAGCCAAAAAGAGACCTCATCTCTAAATCTTTCCATTTAAGAAAAATACCATTTCTGTGTTCCTGTCTGTGAACTTAATGAGTTGATGGGTTGATGGGGTTAATTCTATTCTTTTTTTTTTTTTTTTTAAGATTTATTCTATTTATTTTGAAAGTGTTACAGAGAGAGGTAAAGAGAGAGAGAGGTCTTCCATCTGCTGGTTTACTCCCCAAATTGCCACAATGGCTGGAGCTGAGCCCATCCGAAGCCAGGAGCCAGGAGCTTCCTCTGGGTCTCCCATGGGTGCAGGGGCTCAAGGACTTGGGCCATCCTCTGCTGCTTTCTCAGGCACATTAGCAGGGAGCTGGATCGGAAGTGGAGCAGCCAGGACTTGAACTGGTGCCCATATAGGATTCTGTTGCTGCAGGCCCGGACTTTAACCTGCTGTGCCACCGTGCTGGACTGATGGGGTTAATTCTTAATTTTTCTCTTTTTCCTTCTCCATACTCTTCCCTTCATTGTTGCCACTTCAGCCTTACTGTTCTTCAGAGCTCTTGGAACGACCCTGTCATATGTGGTTGTTTCCCACTGAATTGTAGGCTCCTGCGAAGCAGACACCTTGTTCCCCACCTCTGTACATTAACTGGCGCTCAGTGACTATCTGGCGAGCCTTTACCTAAAACGAAATCATGTATGTACAGATAACTGTACGTTTCTTTCTAAAAACACAAATAGTATTTTTCCTTGTTTTTGAAAAAAATGCAGAAACATGTGGGGAAAAAAGAATAAAAAATGGCAGAATTTATCCACAGCAGTATATACCCTGAGAAATCTGCTTAATTCAGTTCATCTCAAAGTTTGAGGCTCTTTGGCTCTGCCAAGCCAGTAAATAATGGAGATTTAATTCCATCTGGCTTTTGTTGATTGTTTTTTTTGTTTGTACTCATACAGAAGATGCTGGTAAGGCAGGATGGCTCCACAGGGATTACCTCTGAGAACACAGGGTCCCGAGCAGAACAATAGGCCACTCGCTATCTGGGGGCATCTCTCCCACCTCCTGTAATTGGCCATATCATAATGAGGCCGCACGCTACCTCCGAACACTGCCGGGGAAGGCACTTCATTAGGCTGGGCTTATGGAGATTAGATCATGCACAGGAAGCTGCCTGCTTGGTTATCAGGCTCCACAGAGGAGTCGGGAGGCTTAAGGAGGGGGAAAACGTAGGGTTGATTTAAAGAGACAGGGCTTGCGGGAAAAGCACGGATAATTTCCCAGGCTGGAAGGGCGCCTCGCTGGCCCGTAGCTTCCCTGAAGCAGCACTGACTCCAGCCTCGGAGCTGCTTCTGTAGATAAGGGCCTCTTGCAGCCTCCTGCTTTTCTTCTTTGCAGTAGGGTTGCTCATACCACGTCAGATTGTTAGTTTTAATGAGCCGACTCTTAGGTGTGGTACCAGACCTGGAAGGGTAAAACACATTCTAGTGTAGTTCATGCAACTGATTCTAAAAATGTAATTGTTCCAGTTCCTCTTTTTTTTTTTCCTTTTATCATCCTTGTCATTGTGCTATCAAACTTTAATTGATTTATCATAACAGAATCACACTTTGAAATCCTATTGTGTTTGGATTTTTAAATAACATTTTGTACTTCTTTAAATACTTTAAATTATCCTCCCTGAATTATTCCTGTAATTGGTTTGCTTGTTTTATTCTTTCTGTTACATTAGAGGCAATCTGAGGGATAATGTCTCTAATTCATTTTTATATTGCAGTATCTAGGACATTGGTCTGAGCCCAGTGAGTGTTCAGTAAAAGTTTGTTGAGTACCTTTGTGCTAGCCTTATTGCAAGGTTCAACTAAAATATTTAACACAATCTTTGTTCATCCAGGTCAGCACGCTCACCTGTTTAACCATGTAAAGCCAGTGCAGATCTAGCTGTGTATTGTAATGTCTTTGAAAGTGTATTGAATTGGAGCAAAGAGGGCATGCCTGTGTGGTGGTCCTACGAGTGGTGATTCTGGGGACAGGCATTTGGCACAGCAGTTAAGACACTGCCCAGGACGCCTGTATCCCATATTGGAGTGCCTGGATTCTGGTCCTGGCTCTACTTCCAATTCCAGCTTCCTGCTAATGCACACCCTGTGGGGGCAGCACATGATGGCTGAGGTTCTTGGGTCCCTGCCACCCACATGGGAGACTTAGATTGAGTTCCTGGCTTTGGCTGCTTAGCTCTGGTTGGTGTGGGCATTTGGGGAATAAGGCAGTGTTTGGGAGATCCCTATCTATCTCTTTCTGCCTTTCAAATGAATTGAATACATAAATTTAAAAATTTTTAGGGGTTGGCATTATGGTGTAGCAGATAAGGCTGCCAGCTATGACACTGCCATCCCATATGAGTGCTGGTTTGAGTCCTGGCTGCTCTACTTCTGATCCAGCTCCTTGCTAATGGCTTTGGAAAAGTAGTGGAGGATGGCTCAAGTCCCTGGGACCCTGCCACCTGTATAGGAGACCTGGAAGAAGTTCCTAGCCCAGTGGGGCTGGTGCAGTGATGCACACTAGGTTAATCCTCTGCCTGCAGCGCCGGCATCCCATATGGGTGCCAGGTTCTAGTTCCGGTTGCTCCTCTTCCAGGCCAGCTCTCTGCTGTGGCCCAGGAGGGCAGTGGAGGATGGCCCAAGTGCTTGGGCCCTGCACCCGCATGGAGACCAGGAAGAAGCACCTGGTTCCTGGCTTCGGATAGGCATAGCTCCGGCCGTTGCAGCCATTTGGGGGGTGAACCAACGGAAGGAAGACCTCTCTCTCTCTCTCTCTCTCTCTCTCACTGTCTGTAACTCTACCTGTCAAATAAATAAATAAATAAAAGTTCCTGGCCCCTGGCTTCAGCTTGGCCGAGCCTCAGCCATTGCGGCCATCTGGGGAATGAACCAGTGGATGAGAGATGTCCCTCTCTCTCTCTCTGTCTATCCCTCTCTCTCTGTATCTCTAGCTTTCTAATGGATCAATAAATAAATGTAAAAATATTTTTGAATAAGGAAAAAAGAGTGATGAATCTAGAATTAGCTACGTTGGGGGTTTTATTTCATTTTCAAATCTAGTTTTAAATTTTTCTCTTTGATGCTAATTGTTAGTTCCTATCACAGGGCCTTTAGCCATGGGACAATTAGTGTAAAGCTGAATAATAAACAGATTAGGAGACTCAGTGGTAGACAAAAGTAGCAAAGAAGGAGATCAGAAAATGGGTTTCTTTGCTCATCTAATTGGCGGTTCTTTTGGTTGCACACTTGCAAGGGTGCTGTGGTCTTTGTCTCTGGGTTTCCGCCCATCTGCCAGTCTCAGATGGTTTCATGGCCACGCCTGAGCACAACCTCAGCGCTAAAGTTGTGCGTCTTAGGGTGAGAGAGCTGGCTGAGGATGACGCTGAGCCCTGCCAGGTGTCTGGTGTTTAGTTCCCGTTGTCGGCCTTGCAGTGCAGGCCTTTCTCACTGTGTCCTCTCTCCTAGGTGTACGTGGTCGGGAATGAACCTCTGACCGTGCTGCTGGATGCCCTGCTTCCGGTCCTGGGAGTGCTCTTTTCTCTCTACTGTTTCACAAAGCAGAGTGTGTCTCACATAAGGTGAACAATGAAGAGAAACTGCTTGACTCAGAAGTAGCCTCTTCCTTGTTTATGGTGCTACTGTTATTTCCTTTCAATGTCAGGAAGACATCGGGCCCCTCTTGCTCTGCTCATCTAGAAAAGAGAGACTTCTGCTGATGCGGTCTCTGTGTCCCTGGGTAAACCTGGCCCCGTTTGATCAGAGAGAAGCACTGCGGATACATGTCTAGGAAGGAGAAAGCAGGGTGGGTCCTAGGGCCTCGAGGGATAAGACAGTGTGTTCCAGAGATCCAGATGTGAAGGGGGCACTCTGTAAGTTAGCCTGGGCTTTGGTGGTAGTGAGGCAGAGGGTTGTTTACATAGATGGGATTTCTTAGGCATCCATAAGATGCTCTTTTGTGTTAGAATTTCAGCTAGATTTTCCTAGTCATTTTTGTTGTTTCTTCCACCTGGTAAATCCCTACAGAATTCTGAGTTTTGATGTTTGGAAGTAGTCCCGTGTCACCTGATGTGTAGTGTGGAAATAGTACCTTCATCACTAGACCATGCACTAGACATGCATTCCAGTGTTTAGCTCTGCCCTGGCAAGCAGCAAGCACAGTAAGTGGGGGCTGTCCTTGTCACCATGGCTCATGGTGAGGAGGACGCCCAGATTGGTGCAATATTCAAGGCTTCCCTTGCAGAGCCTTTGGCTTCTCAGTGTGTTGTTGCAGCTGCGGTGACAGTGACAGATAAGAGAGAGTGTAGCAGGGGCTGTCCGTGGAGTGACTTCTGGGTCCTACCAGCGCTGTGAGATCCTCATCAGTTACCAGCAGGACTGATTCAGACACTGATTCTCTGCTTAGATACAAGGGGATGAGGAATTAGAAGTATTTTGTTGGTGTTCTGTTTCTTAGTCCTGCTGGTGGTAGATGGTTCCCTTGAGTATAAGCTTTCTTATACAGTAGCTGATCCAAAGGCAGTGGTACATTTGGAATTACTTAAAAAAAAAAAAAATACACATGGGGCTCATGTGGCATATCAGGGTTGCTTCTAGAGCCAAGTGGTTCCTGAATGTTAGGGTATTCGCGTTCTGAAATTCACAGGAAGTGTGCGTCCCACTCCTGCGTCCCAGTAGCACTAGGTGATGGTGCCAGCATTTAGAACGCAGCGGGACCTGACAGCCTTTCTTTCTTTGTTCATGCTGGTTTGTTCCATGCACAGGGTAACATGACAAGCTCATTCATAGCTGCTTTTCCTGCCAGGTCACTTTGCCAAGAGATCTTATTATGGATTCTGGGGAAGCTGGAGAGGAAGAAGGCGGTTGCCAGCCTGAAAGGCTTTGCAGGCCTGGACAGAGCTGCACCCTCGCTCCACTCTCTGTGTCAGTTCAGAGCTGCCGCGCAAGGTGGCATCGAGATTGCCATCAGGGAGGCCCCTAGGTGAGTCCGGATTTTGTTCTACCTAAAAGGCCTTTCTCAGCCACTAAGGGGCGCTGAGAGAAAAGAAACTAGCAGCTCAAGGGCCTGAAGTGTGTGCTATTTATAGTCTCTAAACGAAATGTGAGCCTTAAATAATCTTCCAAGTTTTTCTCCCCCCCAAGATCAGGCTAATAGTCGGCGCAGTTGACCGGGGCCTCGCAGTTCTGTGTGACAACAGACTCGCTCCCTTCACTGAGCTGCTGCCGGCGCATCACAGCAAAGGGTGGCGCGTGTTCACCCCCAGCAGCACAGAAATCCCACCCTCTCTCTGACTCCCAGTGATCCGTGTGTGTGTTTACCAGCATACGTATTCCTAAGGGACCTTGTCCCACAACTGTCTTTACTTTTTGTTCTAAAGCTGTTTTATTTGATAGAGTAAAGAGGGAGAAGGAGAGACAAAGAAAGATCTTCCCTCTTATGGCTCATTCCCCACATGGCTGCAACAGCTAGGGCTGGGCCCGGCTGAAGCCAGGAGCCTGGAGCTCCATCCAGGTCTCCTCTGTGGGAGGTGGGAACTGACAGCCTCGAGCCCTCAGCTGCTGTCTGCCAGGGTGTGCATCAGCAGGAAGTCAGATCGCCGGTAATGCAGCCAGGACAAGAGCCTACGCTCCAAGATGGCACGCAGCTTGTGCTGCCGGGCCACACACCCACCCTGATGACAGGCTTTTGTGGTAGTTGGATGAGGGAGCTTTGTTTCTCGTAGGGACTGGTTAGAAATGCTTGGTACATATTAGTAGATTGTGCCGTTTATTTCTCCAACATCTTACATGTGTGTGTATTTTAAATTCTCTCCACTTTCTGGGTGATCTGTGTAGGATGTTATTATCTCACAGTGTAAGTTTCTGTTCATCAGAATCCGTGTAGTACTTAACTGGTGGCAGCCACCCTGTGTAGGTTTCATATCATATTCAAAATGCTGCTGTTTGTTGAAGTATTTCAGTTCAATTTTCTATTCCTGGTAACCTTGGTAAAGTTTTAGAATACTCTCTCAATATGGGCTTGAAGAAAATTGAAAAATACATAGATTATACACAGAATTATCAGTGCAAGCTCAAGCTACTAATTTACTTAAAATTATCAAGCATTAGTAAGTTGTAGTTGTAACTATGTGTATAGACAAAAAGTTTAAATTTTTTAAATATTCATTTAAAACAGTTTTTATTTGGGACTAATTTAGGGGCAGTATAGAGATTTTCCTTAGGCATTGTAATGCATTAAATGTTCACAAGGCTCTCGTGTACTTAGTGCACATGTGTGAGCATTGATAATTCTTGGGGTGAGCATTTGGCACAACAGTTAAGACCTTGCTTGGGACACCCACATCCCCACATCAGAGTGCCTGGGGTTGAGTTCCACCTCCACTTCCTATCCAGCTTCCTGCTAATGTACACCTTGGGAGGCAGCAAATGATGGCTCACGTACTTGGATCCCTGCCACCCACGTGTGAGACCTGGAAGGAGTTCCTAGCTCCTGGCTTCAGCTTGGCCCAGCCCTGGCTGTTGCAGGCATTTGGGAAGTGAACCAGAGGTTGGAAGATCTCTCTCTGTCTCTCTCTGTCTTTGTGCCTTTCAAATAAAGTGAAAATAAGTAGATAAAAACTTTTTTAAACAACGTTGCGGGCCTTCTATGATCTGGCCTCACCTTGCAGCCTTTTCTTTCTCCAATGTCTACAAATTATACTTTAATTCCTCTTTGCTTTTGCAACTTCAGAAATCATTGACAGGCCAGCATCTGGTACAGTGGTTGAAACCCCGCGTCCCATATTGGGGGCCCTGTGCTTGAGTCCTGGCTTTGCTTCTGCTTCCAGCTCCCCGCTAATGTGCACCCGGGAGGCAGAGGTGATGACTCAAGTACTTGGGTCCCTCTGGCCCACTAGGGACACCCAGATTGAGCTTCAACCTAGCCCAGCTCCTCTCCTGTTGTTGCAGGCCTCTGGGAGAGGAGTGAACCAGCAAAAGGGGAGATCTCTGTCTCCATCTTTCCCTGGCTTTAAAATAAACAAGTTTTTTAAAAATGAAAAAAAATTGTTTAAGATACAATAGCGGGGCTGGTGCTGTGGCGCAGCAGGAAAAGATGCTGCCTGCAGTGCTGGCATCCCATGTGGGCGCTGGTGCGAGACCCGGCTGCTCCACTTCTGATCCAGCTCCCTGCTGTGGCCTGGGAAAGCAGTAGAAGATGGTCCAAGTCCTTGGGCCCCTGCACCCATGTGGGAGACCTGGAAGAAGCTCCTGGCTCCTGGCTTCGGATCGGCGCAGCTCCGGCCATTGCAGCCATAGGGGGAGTGAACCATAGGATAGAAGACCTCTCTCTCTCTCTGGCTCTACATCTCTCTGTAAAACTCTGTCTTTTAAATAAATTAAATAAATATATTTTTAAAAAAAGATACAGGCCAGCGCCGTGGCTCACTAGGCTCACCTCCACCTTGCAGCACTGGCACACCGGGTTCTAGTCCCGGTCGGGGCACCGGATTCTGTCCCGGTTGCCCCTCTTCCAGGCCTGCTCTCTGCTGTGGCCCGGGAGTGCAGTGGAGGATGGCCCAAGTGCTTGGGTCCTGCACCCCATGGGAGACCAGGAGAAGCACCTGGCTCCTGCCATTGGATCAGCGCGGTGCGCCGGCCGCAGCGCACCAGCCGCGGCGGCCATTGGAGGGTGAACCAACAGCAAAGGAAGACCTTTCTCTCTGTCTCTCTCTCTCTCACTGTCCACTCTGCCTGTAAAAAAAAATACAGAACTCGATACAATAGGAATCCTTTAAGAGTGATTTTTAACATGTGAAGCCACTTCCTTCACGAATCTTTTCCTATTTGAGCAAATGACCATACAGGATGTAACAGCCCAGATTCCGAGAATAAATATTTGACTTTTTTCTAGCTTGGAGGAATAGGAAATAAGTTACACACATTTTTGGAGATCTTTCTAATGCTTAACTGGAACGTGAAGTAGCTTGTTCCTTTTGAAGATTATTATGAGGTTTCAAGAAAAATATGGTCTGTGGTGCTGTTGCCAAGTTGACTCTCACCCTGCTTTGCAGTGAGGAAGATGATGATGAAGCCCTGTTCCAGAAGGTGTCCTCCGAGCAGGGCCAGGTGGAGCATCTCGGGGACCTGTTGTCGCACTGCCAGGAGAGTGGATTGGCGGGGGACTTCTTCATCTTCTGTCTGAAGGTGAGAACTGCACAGAGTTCGTGGGCAGCTTTGCTGCGGGCTGGTTCCAGCCAGACCCTGTGGGCTTTCCAGGTATGGAGAATTCAGCCTCCTGAAATTCAGGTCCTGGTTTAGGGAAAATGATCAGAGGCAGAAAGGCAATTTCTTTTTTTACCTTTGGCTTGGTAAAAAGAAGAGGCTTCAGTAGAATGCTGTGCTCTGACTCCTTTCCCAGGTAATCGGCACTGGCATTTTAGAGATGAACAAAGCAGAATTATTGATGTACGAAAGGGTTAATCTTTGTTCAGTGTTGACACTAAGAACTCGTTTGAAGTTAATAGCAGGTTTTACAGCTATAGAGTAATCCCCTATCCTTTCTGCCTGTTGTTCTGTCAGGTATTTGGAAAGGGGATTTAGCAGTTTTGTCTCCCTCGCTTCACCTTGTAGCTACCTGAAAGCTTTTCCCTGTGGCCGTGCTTCCTTTTGCCGTCATCTCCGGTAGCAGCTCGTACCTGTAAGGTCATCAGTGCCCAATATCAATCAGCCCGAGACCACTCGTACCTGTAAGGTCATCAGAGCCCAATATCATCAGCCCGAGACCGATAGCTCTGCCTTCTCCTTTCCCCTTAGTAAAGTATCTGAGAATCAGTTGCAGAGTTCAGAGTTGATGTGGGGGTGTGACACGTAAGGAGGAAACCAGGGCTAACATCCCTGTGTCTTAAAGTCAGGGGACGTGTTTTTGATGCTTTCTTGCCTTCTGTGGTCACATTCATCCCCATGCCGAGCCTCCCATTCCAAACAGCATTCCAAAGAAATGTGCATTTAGTTGTACACCTTAAAAAAATGTTGTTTAGGGGCCAGTGCTGTGATGTAGCAGGTAAAGCCACAGCCTGCTGTACTGGCATCCCATATGGATGCTGGTTGAAGTCCTGGCTGCTCTACTTCCGATCCAGCTCTCTGCTATGGCCTGGGAAAGCAGTAGAAGATGGCCCAAGTGCTTGGGCCCCTGCACGCACGTGGGAGACATGGGAGAAACTCCTGGCTCCTGGCTTTGGATCGGTGCAGCTCTGTCCTCTGAGGCTAATTGGGGAGTGAACCAGCAGATGGAAGACTTCTCTATCTCCCTCTCCTTCTCTCCGTGTGTAACTCTGCCTTTCAAATAAATAATAAATCTTAAAAAAAGTTGTTTAAAAAACAAATAAATCAAAGTGCTTTGCTCTAAACCAGGGTCTCTGCTTTGGTGCTATTGGCATTTTTTTTTTTTTTTGAAAGAGTTACAGAGAGAGGTAGAGCAGGAGAGAGAAAACGAGAAGTCTTCATTCAGCTGGTTCACTCCGCAGATGACTGCAACAGCCAGAGCTGAGCTGATCCAAAGCCAGGAGTCAGGAGCTTCTGGTTCTCCCACGTGGGTGCAGGGGCCCCAGGACTTGGGCCGTCTTCTACTGCTTTTCCAGGCCATAGCAGAGAGCTGGATCAGAAGAGGAACAGCTGGATCTTGAACTGGTGCCCATATGGGAAGCCAGCGTTGCAGGCTGGGGCTTTAACCCACTGCACCACAGCACTGGCCCTGGTGCTACTGACATTTTAAGCCAAATGGCTGTCCTGTTTGCTGTAGGGCATTTAGCAGCATCCTCGACCTCTGCCCACTAAATGCGTGTATTACCCCCAATTATGACAACCAAAAATGTCCCCAGACATTTGTGCAATACCCCCTGGTAGCACAATTGCTCAGACACAGCTGAGCACCCGTGCTCCAGGCTGCCTGTCACTTGGGTAAAGCCTGAATTGGTTGAGAACTTAAGGTTTTGTCTTCCCAAGGAAATTTTCAGCGTTGACGCGCAGGTGAAAAGCCAGCGAGACCCACAATAAGAGGTTGTCTCTTAGAAGCTCAGTTCTGAGTGTCGTATCAGCAAAGGGCCGTGGTGCTGGAGCTGTCTGCTGGTCTGTAACAGGAGCCAGAGGTGTTACATGGCAAGGAGGGCAGTAGAGATGGTGAAATACTGATGAGAGAAATAGGCTGCTGAGCTGGTTCTTTGCGCGCACGCATGCGTGTGTGTGTGTGTGTGTGTGTGAAGATTTCATACACATAGTATTGTACATAGTATTGCACATCTTACTTTTTTCACTTAACACTTCGAGATACCTATCTTTGCAGATAGCCATACAGAGCTAGTTCGTTTGTTTGAACTGTTGTGATAGAATAAGTCTTGCACAATTTATTTGCTCTCTTATTCCTAGACATTTTAGGTTGTCTCCAACGTTCGGCAATTTTAAATAATGCTGTCACATAGACTGCTTGTTTAAATATGTATTTCAGTTTACAGGCTATGTTGGTGAAGCCCTTGGTCTCACTGGGTTTTCTGCACTTTTTCTTCTCTCTTGTGCTTGTAGGAGCTGACCCACGTGGCGGTGGAAAGTGAAGCGGAGTTCAAAGCCAGGACCTTCTGCGGCCAGAGCCTCTTGGAATTAGAGCGACACCGGACTCTGCTTGTGGAAGGCCAGGAGCGGAGGCTGCTGGTCCTGCAGCTGGTGGCTGTTCTGTGCGAGAGGATGTCCGAACAGATATTCACCAACATCGCGCAGGTCGGTGGCTGCCACGCTCTGGAAGCAGCCTGGCGGTGCTTGCCTATTTTGGTTTCTTTACATTCCTTCCAAAACGGTGTTCAGAAATGTTGCTCCGAGTGTGATTTGGTGACACCTGCCGGGATGCTGGTTAAACAGGCAAGTTCCTGAGTCCACACTCGGCCGGCTGAAGCAGAGACTTCCCTGGGTCCCGGAATCCGCGTGCTGAACGTGCTGCCGAGGTGACTGGCGTGCGCAGGCAACTTGGGGAACTGCTTTACATTTTTATGTCGTGTTGTTATGTCCTGTGGTTTTCAACTTTAGGGCACAGGTGAAAGCCTCAGGTATCATTTCCAAAATATTAACACTCAACCTACTCTACTCTTAGAGATTCTGATGTAGTATGTCTGTATGACAGCCTGGCATCTTTTTAAATGTTGTTTTCTTTGTTTATTTATTTCCATTAAGTTGAAAAACAGAGTGACAGAGACAGAGAGAAAGAGAAATCTGGTGCGGGGGAGGGTGGGTATGGTAGGAGGAATCACTGTTTTCCTTTAGATGTACTCATGAAGTTTACATTCATTAAACAAAAGGTTAAAAAGAGAGAGAAATCCATCTTCCATCTGCTGATTCACTCCCCAAATGCCTGCAGTAGCCAGGGCGGGGCCAGGCCAAAGTCAGGAGCCAGACACTCCCTCCTGGTCTCCCATGTGGGTGGCAGGGGTGCAAGGGCTTGAGGCATCATCTCCTGCCTCCCGGGCACGTGAGCAGGAAGCTGGTTTGGAAGCAGAATAGTTGGGACTGGCATTCTGATATAGGATACACTTTTCATAATGACAGCTTAACTTGCTGTGCCACAGTACCTGTCCCATTCTTTTTTTTTTTTTTTTTTTTTTTTTTTAGTTCTGTTGATGATTCTAATGTATATCAAAGGTTGAGAATGATTAAAACCTCAAATTTGCAAAAAAAAAAAAAAAAGCCAACTTGAATTTTGTGGCTTCTTGACCTCAGCTTATCTCCACAAGATCCTGTAAACTTTAAAGTTATTTTTAAAAAATGCTTTCAGAGTAGTGTAACCGTGCAAATCAGAGCCCGAATTTTACTGATGCAGACATTGTTTTTACCACCTTTTAAAAATATGGGAAACAGAGGCGGGCGTTTGGCTCAGTGATTCAGATGCCTGAATCAACTCCCCACTCTGCTTTTAATCCAGCTTCCCGCTAATGCAGGCCCTGGGAGACAGTGCTGATGGCTCAAATAATTGGATCCCTGTCACCCACAGGCGAGACCTAGATTGGGTTCTAGGCTCCTGGCTTTGGCCTGACCCAGCCCCGGCTGTTGCAGGCATTTGAAGAATGAATCAGTGGTGGAAGCTCTCTTTTTCTCTCACTTGTTCTCTCTTTCTGTCTGTCACCCTTTCAAAAAAAAAAAAAACCACAAAATAAATAAATTAAAGAACAAAGTAGGAAACAAACAATAGGAAAGCACAGTTGCCCTGTTTTGCCACTTTACAGACGTCTGCTGCCTGGGTGGCGGCATGGCGGCGTAGGACGGCTGAGTGCTGCACTTAGCTCCGATCCCCCGGCTCCTGGTGCCGTCGTCCTGCCGCCTGCCTTTGGCGTTGCTAAGCAGCATTTCGCTGTCACTCCTGCTGAGAACACGTGCAGCTGCCTGTCAGCTCTGACTTATCACGTCTGTCTAGTGAGAATTACGTCCATGATCTCTTTCCTGGCCTCTTACTCCTTCAGTTGCCTGACCCCATGTCACTCAGGGGGGCGATGTGCTGCTCCTCCGTTTACTTTTGTTCCCTGAAGACTTCTTCGTGCAGACCTTACGTTTCTGTCTCAGGATGCTAACTGGAAGGGGGAATGGTCTAGAAACTGATACGACTTGAGTCTGTGCACTTATCTGCCTTCGCTGCTAATTAAGGAATAATGGTATTAAGCGGGTACAAAAATGATTTGTCCCATTAAGTCATCCTTCAGCTGAGATGAAAACCTGTCAGGACAGAAAGAACCTGAAGGAAATATTGGCATGGCGTTTGGTGATCTTGCTGCTAGTGAAAATATTAGTATGTTGTTTTGAAACACACACATATGCACACACACACAGATAAAGAAGATAAGTCACATACATGCAATTTTGTTAATATTACTGAGAATCAAGATTTTCAGCATAAGAAAAAGGTATAAAAATCCAGGAACTTGGATATAAACCTTATTAAATTAAATTTCAATAGAAAGTATTAGTGTGAACCCATATTTAGTTTTCTCTTTTTTAAAAATAGATACTTGCTAGCTCAGTCCACTGTCCATGCCAAGAAGCAGTGGCAGCTCCATAGCAGTGAAGCACGTGAGCGCCAGATTACAGTTTTCAAATAACATTTTCTACAGGAAGAGCACAAGCTCTCCAGATACAGGCTGAGGCAGGGTCTTGGTGAGGAATCATACGTGGCAAGCCTCAAGGCAGCAGTTCCGGGATGCCAGGAAGCTGTCTGGGGTGAGTGGGGCCATGTCGGTGGCACTCAGGAGCCTACCTGCAGGGGCCCCCATCGGCCATAGATAGGACAAGAGTATCAAAAAGAGTAATTCCTGCAATGTTTTGAAACACGCCCAAGATACAAAACAAGGGGCCAGCACTGTGGCACACCAGATTAAGCTGCAGTCTGCAGTGCTGGCATCCCTTATAGACACCAGTTCAAGTCCCGGCAGCTCCATTTCCAATCCAGGTCTCTGCTAATGCTCCTGGGAAAACAGCAAAGGATGGCCCAAGTGGTTGAGCCCCTGTACCTGCATGGGAGACCCGGATGAAGCTCCTGGCTCCTGACTTCAGCCTGGCCCAGCCCTGGTGGTTGCATCCATTTGGGGAGTAAACTAGCAGATAGAAGATTTCTCTCCTCTCTCTCTCTTGCTGTAACTCTGACTTTCAAATAAATAAACTTTTAAATAACAAACAAAAAACTAGTAGGACATCTTTAAAGATTACTAGAGCACAGCTCATTATTTTGTAAATTGATAAAGAGAAATAATGAAGCATTTGCCCTTCCTGCCTTTTTTTTCTTAAGATTTATTTATCTATTTGAAAGACAAAGTGAGAGAGAGAAGGAGAGAGAGAGAGAGAGAGAGAGAGAGAGAGAAAGAGAGAGATCTTCCAGCCATTGATTTACTTCCCAAATGGCTGCAACAGCTAAGGGTGGACCAGGCCAAAGCCAGGAGCCAGGAACTGCATTCTGGTCTTCTACTATGGAGTTAGCGGGGACTCAAGTACTTGAGCCAACATCTGCTGCTTCCCAGGTGTGTTGGCAGGAAGCTGGATTGGAAGCAAAGTAGCCCAGATTCGAACTGGCAGCCTGGTATGGGATCTGGGCATCCCAAATGGCAACTTAACCTGCTGTGTCACAGTGTCCCCCTTGTGCAGTCTTTCCTTTAGGAACTACATTTCAGTGTAACCAAATAGTTGATGAAGGAAAATTTTTGTTAATAGGAGAATCATAGCCAAAACTTTCAAACAGAAGACTAGAAAATTAGGTTCTGCATCCCCTGAAGTAATGGATGAGCAGTGCCATTGAAAGGGTGCTTTATAGTAAGTGTGTTAGGCCCGAAATGCCCAAACCAACTGATTGATCCTTTCCCCCACCTCAAATTTTTTATATTTATTATTATTTGAAAGACAGAGGCAGAGACAGAGACAGAGAGAGAGATCTTCAATCACTTTGCAAATGCTCACAATGGTTGGAGCTGAGCTAATCCAAAGCCAGGAGCTGGATCTTTTTCTGAGTCTCCCATGCGGGTGCAGAGACCCAAGGACCTGGGCCATCTTCCACTGCTTCCTCAGGCCCTAGCAGAGAGCTGGATTGGAAGTAGAGCAGCCAAGACTTGAACTGGTGCCCATATGGGATGCCAGCGCTGCAGGTTACCTGCTATACCACAGCACCAGCCCCAGCCCTCCAAATTTTATTATGACAGATATCAAATTTGGAAGAATTTTGTAGAATACCTCTATGCCCAGTAGCTAAACATTGCCATTGATGTTTTGTTATACTAGGTTTATTACATAGTTATCCATGGTACCTTTCTTCTATCCATCTTTTAAAAAAAAAAAGATTTATTTATTTATTTGAAAGGCACAATTAGAGAATGGGAGAGTCAGAGAGAGAGAGAGAGAGAGAGAGAGAGATCTTCCTTCCACTGCTCACTCACCGAATGGCTGCAACTGCTGGGGCTGGATCAAGCTGAAGCCAGGAGCCAGGAACTTTATCTGGGTCTCCCATGTGGATGGCAGGGGCTCAAGCACCTGGGCCATCGTCCTCTGCTTTCCCAGGCCATCAGCAGGGAGCTGGACCAAAAATGGAGTTGACACTGAAACTGGTATTCATATGGGGATGTAGGCGTTACAGGCAGAGGCTTAACCTGCTGTACCACAACACCAGCCCCTCTTAAATCCATCTTTTTTTTTTTTTTTTTTTAAGATTTTATTTATTTATTTATTTGAGAGGTAGAGTTACAGACCGTGAGAGGGAGAGACAGAGAGAAAGGTCTTCCCTTTGCTGGTTCACTCCCCAAATGGCTGCAACGGCCTGAGCTGTGCCAGTCTGAAGCCAGGAGCCAGAGCTTCTTCCTGGTCTTTCATGTGGTTGCAGGGGCCCAAGTGCCTGGGCCATCCTCCACTGCTTTCCCAGGCCACAGCAGAGAGCTAGATTGGAAGAGGAGCAGCTGGGACTAGAACCGGCGCCCATATGGGATGCTAGTGCCAAAGGCAGAGGATTAACCCACTGTGCCACGGCGCCAGCCCCTTAAAGGCATGTTATTTTTGGTACATTTTAGTGTTAATGAGCAGTGTAAATATTTCAGCACGGGCTGACCGATCTTACCTCACCCGAGTGGACAAATAGATGTATGTGCCTCCTGCTGCCCCTTGGGAAGGATTCTTACCAAGAAAAAGCGAAAACTCAAACCTTCATCTGATCTGATCAGGGAAATCCAGGGGATGAGGAAGCAGTTGACCCAATCCAGGATGTGGGA